TTTCCTGGATTCCACTGCCAGTCACTATCCACCAGTTAAGTAAACTACATATTTTGAATAATTAAAGGTTGTTGCTTTTGTTGTCGTTGTCATAGCTAAATCCAACCTTTGTGTCTAACTCACTGCGGCAGATATTTTCAAGTGATCAACTGGTTATAAATACCATGTCTGAAGACGGATTCTAGACAAGTTAGACGACAGTAGTAAATCAGTAACCGTTTGTTATAAAAATGATCCACTAAATAAAATATTAAATATGGTTTTAATATATGTGTAAAACTTGGGCACTGTGATAGTAAGTAATTCTATATTAGTCTGTTTATTAGATGTATCACACAGTGATTAAACAGTATTATTTACTGGATGACAAGGTTTCGAACACAATTTATTATTCATAATCATATCAGTTGTAGTCATACAACTTCGAAACTTGAGTCCTATAGTTTTCTTTGTCTTCTCCTATTTGTCGTCGTCGGGGCAGTATAATTTTCCAGATAACTGTGTGGACAGGTGTTGAATCATTCCTATTATATGTATTTGCAGTTGATTCGATAAACAAAGCCTCTATTATCAATCTCTCACTTCACCCTGCTGTGACATTAGATTTTAAACTGTCATCCTATCCCATCCATCCTATTGTATGGTTGTGTGCAATTCCTTGTAGTGAGTGCTATACCTGAACTATTCTCTAGATTTCTTATCTTATTCGGGTCAACCAGTCTAGATTTTGCTAGGTTTTTATTATTTTTATGATTTAGATTCCTTATTGTTGGTGTTGTCTTCCTCATAGTTGACATGCTTGTCATTATTATTATCATTATCTTTACTCTCATTATTTATTTTATTTCAACGTTTCCTTATATATTTCCTGACTAATTTATCAGGGTAATTATTAAGTCTCAAGGCTTCTGACATGTCAGTAAAAACAGGATTGGTGAAACGTTGAAGTAACAGAGCACAAAAACTTAGTAGTACCAAGGAAAATCTAAGACTGGAAGTGATACACATAAAAGAAACCGTGAAACTTAATAAATACCCTGATAAATTAGTCAGGAAATATATAAGGAAACGTAAAAGTAAAATAAATATTGATAGTAGTGATAGTGATAATAATAACATTAATGACGATATGCATGTTAAATATTCACAAGACAACAACAACAACAATAAGGAATCTAAATCATCAGTAGTAATTCCATACAAGGAAGAAACCTCGGAAACCACCTTACACTGAATTCTTAACAAGGCAGGAATATAAGTGACTGGCATTTAGACCCACAAATTCAATCAGAAACAAGCTTTGTCGGTTAAAGGATCAATCCTGTGGAGCCTTTAAAACAAAACAATTTAGTTCATCTAATATCCTGCCTGAGATGATTGTCAGGTCAAATGCATAGGTCAAACTAGTAGAACATAAAAATCTAGATTGGTTGACCCGAATAAGATAAGAAATCTAGAGAATAGTTCAGGTATAGCACTCACTACATGCAATTACACACAACCATACAATAGGATGGATGGGATAGGATGACAGTTTAAAATCTAATGTCACAGCAGGGTGAAGTGAGAGATTGATAACAGAGGCTTTGTTTATCGAATCAACTGCAAATACATATAACAGGAATGATTCAACACCTGTCCACACAGATATCTGGAAAATTATACTGCCCCGACGACGACAAATAGGAGAAGACAAAGAAAACTATAGGACTCAAGTTTCAAAGTTGTGTGACTACAACTGATATGATTATGAATAATAAATTGTGTTCGAAACCTTGTCATCCAGTAAATAATACTGTTTAATCACTGTGTGATACATCTAATAAACAGACTAATATGGAATGATATGTGGTTTTCATTACCAACTGTATATATGCACTATTATTATCATTCCCTTGGTTTTCGAGTAGAACATAGGGGTTCGGCAGTACACCACTTTTCATCCTGTTCCCTTAACTGCCTTCAAGTAGCTCAACGACTGCTTTCATCGCATTGTCAGGGCCACACTCAACCTGTGTGTTTTCAGTTTGAAATCCACTCTGGGGCTTGGTGCTGTTTGTCATTCACTTGTCTCCTCAGTGTGTGTCCTACCCACCTACACTTTCTCGGGTATACTTTGTAGGCTAGTTTGTTGCCATATTTCCTTGTTGCTTATCTTTTCCTATCGATTTTCTGATTTTCTGTATTGAGCTAACGAAATGAGTTTGCGGCTTGCTTAAATCATTTGTCTACCAGAATTTCTACCCATCAAAATGCTTTAACTCTTCTGCATTTTGTTATTGTTTTATCATACAGTTATGTCAAATGATCACTCTACATGAGGTTGCGCAGTGCGATGTGCTGTGCAATTCTAGGAGAAAATGACGAAAATTGCGCAGAATTAGCTGCCTCTTCATGGGTAACAAGGCTATGTCACGCTATGACATACTTCAGATTATCACCTTACATAAAAAAATCCTAAGTGAAGTGGAAATATTTTAGGACTAAATACTCTGAATGTTCTCATATTATCTTAAATGAAGTTTTATTATTTATCATTATTATTATTATTAAATGTATGAAGCCTATTTGAAATGCTTTTTGTGACACAAACACGAACTGTTTCTGAATTCTAACAGGAAAACTGACTAGGCGTTTATGTTGAAGAACCAGATCTTGTTCATTGGGCTGAATGCAGGAGATTTCAACATTGATTTTAGAGCATCGAAGGTTTGCTTTGCTTTCCTGATTCTGTCTGTGACGTCTTCCAGTGTGATAATTTTCGTCTGACTACAAGAGAGTCATTAGTACGGAATAACTATTTTTGTTAGCCAGGAATTTAAGGTTGATACATACACTGACATAATAACCTGATTGAACAACAATTTTTGATTGATTGATTAATTGCTTTTGGAGGAAATTGAAGGTGTCATGCAATCAATCACAACAGAAAGAAGGCTACTTCTCCAATTTTCTGAACACGTACCAAAGCCGAAGCCTACGTCTCAAGGGAACATATGCTTTCAACAGTGCCATTGCTAGGCATCTCGTTGACACAGGTCATGAGTGTAGACATCGCAAGATCGTTGAAAATTACCTGTAGGCAAAAGAGTTCAGTTCTCTTTAATTGTAACGAAGCAACCTTCATCAAGCACCTGAAGCAGTTATCAGTCTTTCCTTGCCCTGGAAACTGGATATTTTCATCCTTGCTTTCATTTGATCAAGTAACGCTGAAAGATTCCATTGTTTATGATTATTGTCGTTTAGGATAAAGTGGTTAATATTATTATTAGCATTGATTTTTGTTTAAACTTGAACTCTCTGTGTAAGTTAAGACAGTTTCAGTACATAAAGCTGACAATATTTTTAGACTGTAACCAGCTGATGAGAAGCCAACGAAATAAACAATGATGGTAACATTTTATTCTGTAGAAAGCGTTGTTCTTGCTTTATTCGAGATCAGAAATTGATTATCTACTTATGGTTTAAATTTCCGTTGATGTGAAAACGATAGTGTGTCGGTGGCACAGCGGTTAAGACTCTCGCCGACCATGCAAATGTTCCGGGATTCGACCCTTAACGACGCACATCCAATATCGATGGTCGGCCTTAAAAAATTTGGGCTACCGATCTCACATGTTGAAGATTTCATAGTTGTATAGAGGAGAACAGAACGTTGTTGTCACCACAGCTGTCTCAGCTAAATTTTAACTTCTTTGTGTCTACTCAATGTGGGGAATATTATTTCCGACTGGTCAGTCAGTTGTCTGAAGACGTATATTCATATTCAAGCTAGACGACAACCAATAAGTCACTGTCACTGCGTTATAACATCATTTACACATATGTTACCATTATTGAAAACTAAATCAAATGTTTATAACTTTCCAAAATTAAACTGAGGCTTAAATTAAGTTTACCAATTCAAGTGGTTGTTACATGAGGGCATAACTTTCTACAGACAAAAAGCAGACCTACAGGGAAAGAAAAATGTTTATAAAAGTTGTTACAAAAAACCTAAAAATCCAACTGGAAACAAACTTTTTTCATCATTCATAAAGAAAAATAGTGTTTTCGTTAATTTTCAAACCAAAAAAAAAGAAAGAAAAATAATAATTTCTTGAGGAAGAAAAATTGTTCACTTGCCAAGTTTGAGAATGAATATTTATATTTCTTATTTGTTGTGTTCGAATGTCTGAATTTCCATATATTCCGCAACATTTTTTGTTCATTATTTTAAGAGTGTTAAATTCACTACTTGGTGACAGAGACATTTAATAAAATGCTACGTTTATATTACAAGCTCATTCATTCGGCATATATCAAAATGCCTTTAGAGTTTGACCACGGATTGATATCAGAGTTAGAGAAGCATTGAAAACTAGCACTTAAGTACTCGATAGCTGTTTCATCCAACTAGTTTAGGAATCATCGGCAGCAATCACCCCCCTTAGCAGGGTTCGAACCCAGGACTTTCCGGTTACAAGGCGAGCTGGCTCATATACCATTCAGCTACTGGGGAGCCAATTCAATGGCTGCTAATCTATGGATTCTAACTTCTACCGATTCATGATGTTTTTAGTGCCCCCATCAACCAGTGTTCCTATGGAGGGAAATCCATCCTCACACATGACATCTGGATGGACCGCATTGTTCATTACTTCTCACTAGAACTGCAGGAAACTCCATCCTGTAGGAAGTCACTAACAAGCATCAGATTAATTTTCAAGAGTTAATAAAACACGAGCTTGTAACCTGGAGGTCTTGAGTTCTAACCTTGGCTAGGTGGGTGTGTACTGACGATGATTGCAAAATTAGTTGGATGAAACAGCTATCGAGTACTCCCTGGCTGGTTTTTAATACTTCTCTAACTGATATCAATTCATAATCCTTACAAACCAACTCTTGAAGAAATAAAACACTTGCCAATCTGAACACAAGTGTGTAGAACTCAAAATAATTCGGAGGAAAAAAAGGAAATAATACAGTAGATCAAAAGGAGAAAATTTGGTTGGACTCACTTATCATTCATTGGAACTTTTTCCAGGAGAGCTGATCCAGTGTTTGATTTCCAATTTCCAGAAATAGCCTTACGCCTGTACAAGAAAAAAGAAACACATGTAAAAGATACGGTCAGATTCAGGTTTGATTACAACGATTTTATTATGTTATTATTTAGATATGGTGAAGATTTTATTATTATTATTATTAATATTATTTACTTGGGGTCCGAGGAGCACATTCGGGACATTTCAGAAAGAGGAACCTGATATACGCTCTTTCCTCGAGGATTCGAAAGATATGCAGCAAGGAAGTGGTTGAAGAAGAACTGCGTAATCTCCGAAAAACCCTGATGGTAAACGGGTTCCCGCCCAGGTTTATAGACAAGAATCTCAAATCTAAGAAGACTTTCGAACAAGTCCAATCCGTCCCAAAGAAAATACTTCTACCTTATCTAGAATTCAAAGGTGATATTGAGGCAGAAATCCTTCGTAAACGCCTCTCTGAATCGCGGAGGAAAACATACTCCGCCGCGAGCCTACGACTGACGTTTTCCTGCAAGAAACTGTTCAAAATGCGAAAGACAAGCTGTCGCATTAAGCCACCTCAACGTGCAGATACCAGTTTACTTGCTCTTGTTGAGCTGAGTACATCGGCCGTACCATGCGCCGACTTGAAAAACACGCTCGTGAACACTACCCAGCCTGGTTAGTGGAAGGAGACCAAAAGCGTGTTTACAGTTCAGTGACAGAACATCTGGTCAATTCAGGACATTCAGCACCTTTCTAGAAATCCTTCAAAGTAATATACAAGATTCAATCAAACCTATCAAAGGGAGTGAAACCAAGACATCTGGGCATAGCCGAGGCGCTAGCTATACAAAAAGCTCCAACTCCTGTCCCTGCCATAGCCATCATGAACAGGTAAAATTTTTTTAGTAATCACCATCCCATCGCCTTTCTTATCTAAACTTCCTGTTTATTCATGTTATTTTTTTAAAGTTTTTCTTAATTCCTTTTTGCACTACCATATTTTCACACCGGAACTTCGTGTTTATTTTGTCATTTTACTATTTCGACATATTTAATCCCTGATTGCATAAACAATTAGTCATCACATTAGTTTTTTTGTCCAAACATCCTGTCTATTTTGTTATTTCTACATTTCTAACCCCTAATTGCACAATGTCAATCTTCTTAGCTATCATGATGCTACTTTGTTTGAGTTTTATCCGTCCCTCCCGCCTGTTCATTATGGCATTCTAATTCCTAGTTGTAATTTTTATTAATTTAACCCTTAACCAGAAATTATTCTGGAGCTTCCTCATCCATTTGATACGAATACACGAATGTATAGCCTTGGTGACAACTTCGTCGAGAGGAAAATTTTCTTCACTGCACTTGTCTTAACATTTCATTCTGTTCCCTGAAGTACTTCATAGCTGGTACCACTAATGCCAACAAGCACTCATTTCTTTCTCAAAGGCTGTATCTCATTGTAATGGTGGAAGACGAAAGATTTGGTTTCTATGTATGACCAAATGATGCACACTATTGGCACAGATCTTACGTGTTGTGCTACTTCTGACCTTCCTTCTTTGTGTTCCTTTCACGTTTCCCATGAATCTCTCTCCGCAACGCTGTATCATTTGATTTCTCTGACTTCAAATGCATCTCCCTGCTATTTGATGTTTTTATTCCTACGAATGTCTCTTTATTTACTACTAATAAATCTTATCAGTAGCTCATGCCATACTATGTCACGCACACACAACTCACTGACTCATATTTCCTTCATTCTCTTCTCTATATTTGGTGGTTACTAGGTTCTTGCTGTCAGACTTACTTGTTCATAGTTCTTTCTGGTCTACAATTTAGTCTTAAGACTCAAGGTAGTGAAGACAGTCATTGATAAAAGTCTGAAGCCTGTTGTTGGAAATGCTTTCCGTGGCACTCGCATCAAGTTTCTAACGCATATAGAAGAAGTGACTGAACACCGGTTTGGAAAATCCGCATCTTGTTTTTTATTCTGACCTAGTCAAGCAGATTTACAAACCGATTTCATACTAATGAAGGTCTGTCTCACCTTTGTGATTCCGGCTGGCTTTTGACATCCTCGCGCATTCTGTCTCCTGAAGCTTAAACACCCCTGCTTAGATAAGTGAAAGAAGTGCCTTCTTCCGCCTGTAGCTGTTCGAATGTTTGTGTAACATTAGACATACATCATCCACGAAGTACAAATTCTCTAGTCTTCTTTACGGCTAAACGTATTCTTATCTTTTCGCTTCCCAATCATAGTAGGCAGACAACTTTGTCTTATTCCTGTACTCACTTCAAACGCCTCGCTGAGTTCTCCGTTGTGGATCACCTTACACGTGGCATTGTCATATAACTGTTGAAAGGGTTTGATAAAGAAATGAGGTACTTAACAGTGTCGAAGCAGTTCCTAACCTGCTTCGCAACTTTGTTGGAAGCCTTTTCAAAATGAATGTAACTGAAGTAGAGGACTTGACTGACATTCTATCTCCTGTTCGATGATGATGATGATGTGTAGACTTGCAACTTGATGCGTATACGATTCGCCTTCCCCAAATTCAACTTGTTCCCATTGGACTTCCGAGTCTATTATATCTTTTGATCTGTCGCTTTTGCTTGGCATAGACAAAAGACCCTTAAGTCTAACTGTAGACAGACTAATACGTAGTATTTCAATGCTAAAAATAATCTAAACCGTCACTGACGTTTACTACAAAGTGTCAGTTAACCACAGCAGTCATTCTCTTTCAACAAGAACAACAATGAAGTTATCATTATTTTTTTTTTTGATTAATCTGTCATATCTGTTCATCTTTCATAGATCAATATATTATTCAAGTGATGGTTTGTAGGGATTTGATTGGTTTCAGGATTTCATCATCAGCTAACATTAGTTAGAGAACCATTGGAAAACCTGGGAGTACTGGACAGCTGGTTCGTGAATTGGCAGATAGAATTCAAGGACCTTTGGATCGGGTCCCAGTGGCTTAATGGTATACGAGCTCGCCTTGTAACCGGAAGGTCCTGGGTTCGAATCCCGGAGGGTGTGCACTGATGAAAAGTCCCAAACTAGGACGAAACAGCTGTCCAGTACTCCCAGGTTTTCCAATGGTTCTCTAACTAATGTCAGCTCATGATGAAATCCTGAAACCAATATATTATTATTGATTTTAAGTTTGCTATTAGTGTGGTAAAAATATGATTTTAGATGAATTATTATTTTCATCATCAGGCTCTACAGTTATATACACATAACAATGAATGAATTAGTGTTATGAACAACAACATTTATGTTGTTTAAATAAAATCGAATCAATAATATTGATAGATAACAGCTTAATAGCATCAACACAAAATAAGCTGAATGTCAGAAAGGCAAATTAGGAAAGATAATATTACGAATTCATGAATTTAGTTTCTACTGAAGGCTGGCCAGGGCATTGGTAGTGGCTGGATTTGCTTCTTTCGCACACAAAGCACTGGCCTCTGCTGTTTGTCGCATGCAGTACCTCGATGTTTTCGGCAATTTATTTGATACCTGGTAGATGATAGAGAAGGATTCTTCAGTGCTGGTTGGCGTTGTGGTTGGTTTGGACCAGATGGTCCAAAATGGAACTGTTAATGGTTTTCACTACACCTTTACTTAGCCATAGTGGGAGATGTTCTCGAGCAACAGCCGATATAACTGGATTCACAAACTCAGTTGAATTGACACCTAATAAATACTGCCAAGAACATCGAGGTACCGTATGCGCCAAACATCACAGGCTATTGCAATTCGCCTCAAACAACCAGTGCCCCGTGTTCAAAAGAAGCAAGTCCAGCCACTACTACTGCCCTGGCTGGCCTTCAGTAGAGACTATACATTCATGAATTTGTAATATTATCCTTCCTAATTTGCCTTTCTGACATTCAGCTTATTTTGTGTTGATGCTATTAAGCTGTAATCTATCAATATTATTGATTCCATGTTATTTAAACAACATAAATGTTGTTGTTCATAACACTAATTCATTCATTGTTATGTGTATATAACTGTAGAACGTGATGATCAATGGGTTGTTCAGTGACCATTCGTTTGTAAATTTTAATGAACAGTTTTAAACAGTTGAATTATTATTACTATTATTTATTGATAAATATTTGACTAAGTAATGTCACTAAGAACTAATGAAAGTTCGTAGCGTTTTTTGACAGTCCATTTATTTCCAATTCTTTACATGCTGTTCTAAAATAAGCCATTCTCTAAAACAATCTATTCACGTGGAAACATTTTACAAGGAACTTTCTTTCTGTAAAATATAGAAGATTTATAGCTCAGATGGATGATTTGAAATTAGTTGTGTTCTCTAAGCTGGTTGGTTTAATTGTGAAGCTGGTTACGTTTCGCTGATGGTACATTGAAAGAAATAATTTAGAATATACCCGTAAATTACTAAACAACATATTAGAAGACATTAAGTTCACCACGAGTGAAGAAGAATTACACAACAAAATTCAATTCTCAGATATCTTAATCAGGAGAAATAACACAGGTAATTTAGAAACACAAGTATAATCAACGCACTGGCAGTAATAACCCAACCCGATTACCCACAAAAGAAAATGTGTGCAGACATTGTTTGAAAGAGGTCAGGTACACATTGTAGCACTACTTCAGTGTTGAATTATACTCTACCACAGTGCCCAAGTTTTATACTTATACCATACCTACAAACGGTCTTCAAAAACAATCGTTATCCACAAAATTTTATCAAAAAGTGTTTAAAATCGAATCACAACACCAACAAGAAACCATCATCAAAGACTACAAGAAAATTCATCCTATCATACATGAAATGTATCTCTGAAATAATTGCTAGAATACGGAAAGCATTTGATATAGATATAGCACACAAGCCAGTCAGTTAAATCACTTAATTCGATATTATGCAAACCGAAAGACACATACAACAGAAAAAGGAGATAAAATTAACACTATTTACAAAATAAATAGTATGAACTGTAACAGGCATTACATCGACCAGAGTGGGCGTCCCCTTCGAATCAGAATCCAGGAA